AAAAAATGTAATATACAGTTATGTAAACCAGTTTCATAACCTATTCTCGGCTCTGACATTAGCGGAATGAGGCTCAGTTTACCAATGTAATCGGCAATCCCGCGGACCGAAATAGAAGCGTTTTTATAGCGAAATAGTTCAAGCCATAATAAATTTTATGTCAATTGTGTAACGTATAAAGTGCATAAGATGTAGCTGCGGGAATTCCCAAGACAGCGCGAGTATTCTTCGAAAGACGCGCGACCTGTTTTCTTGGCTACTATTCCATTTCGCTGCAATATAGATTGCGCCTTAAGATCTTTTTTCGTACGCCACTGCCGCACATATCACACTATTCCAAATTGCAGTATGTTTGTTATTTAAAATGTTTTGCCACGTTGTTTTTTGTATTACTTTAATTTTTATTGTTTCGTTTTGTTTTGTGACGTTGGAAATTTATTGCTGCTCGCTTTTTACGGACGGGGTATTCACAAAAATAATGCAACGTTCAAGAATATTGTGTAGACAAATATTTTACACAATCGCAAGCGACTACTTTTACAGACAACGTACAGAATACAGCAGAAACTTTAAACTGTCAGTATTTTTATTAATACAAAGATCCGGTTGGATTCGAACCGGCGTCTTCTAGCAAACCGTGCCAGACGCTGTGCCAACTAAGCCACTGAGAGCCTACGCACACGGCTATATACGCACCGATGACGCGCGTTTCACGTATGCTATGCGCCAACTGTAATAAACGTATGAATCTTAAGGTCGTATTCTAGAACTGTACTCAATGCTGAAGTCAGGATTTGAGTATGATTTAAAGTACTCGAAATCATACTCAAGTCCCTGCCATTAGGGTCGTATTTCTAAGTATTCTATAAGAATAAGAGTTCTATAAGAGCTCTAGAATACGACCCTTAGTGTCATAGATTCGTACTCGAGTATTTTATTATGACATTCAATAAAATAAATATTACTCAGAAGCAGTTATTAATTTTGTAGATTATTTATAAAGGAACGTTCGCCTATCAGCTGCACCACAAGACGCAATTTTCATTGGCTTGCCTAAGAAACTCTTTCTCCAACTTAATAGGGATACATCTTGCATTTCAGCATTTGCTGCGTGCCTTCCACGTCGGCTTACCTTTTTTAAATAATCAACTTTCGCCCCTGATCGGTACGTACCGTGCAGAGGCCTATAGCTGGCAAGCTCAGATTACAATATTGTAATCTGAGCTGGCAAGAAAAAAATATTATTTCACAAACGACTTCAAGTGCATCATCATCACAATTGTAATTAGTCGAGAATAAAGTGCAATGCCATTAGGTAATCAAGCGGATCGTTGGCGTAGTTAACGCACAGCCAACGTTATATGATAGATATTTATATTATTGAAAATCGTGATGTTTTTGCTACCAATTTATTTTTAAACATCGAACAATATAAAGAAAAATTCCTTCGTTCCGACTGGACTCGAACCAGCGTCTGTTGCCACAATGGGGCCACCGCTCTTGTAACTCAGTTGGTAATAGTTTATTACACAACTTCTGCGTACTTGGATGACAAAAATCCGTGGTAATAACCCGTTTAGCTCATGGAGGTAGTCTCGATCTCTGATGTTTCAAATAAAAAAAAAATATTGTAAATGTTATTTACAAAGAGCAACCCCTAGAGTTTCTTGCTCATTCTTCTCAGGGGAATCTGCCTTACGAATGAGCGGTAGAGTTTAATATTGTGACGATTTCAAGTGTAATAATGCTTGCCTATGAAATAAAGATTATTTTGAATTTGAATTTGAATTTGAATAGCGGTGGCCCAGGTGAGTCCATATTGTTCCACTGCTGGGCACAGGCCTCCTCTCACAATGAGTGGGTTTAGGCTGTAGTTTCCACGCGGAGCCCAATGCATTTGTAATAATAGTGTGAATCCCGGCTATAAGGGACATTAGAATATTTGGAAATAAAATCATTTTTAACCGACTTCAAAAAAGGAGGAGGTTTTCAATTCGAAATATTTTTTTCCTTGTTCTCATCTTTTTTTAGTTGGAAAAAAAGGTACCTCAGTATTAGTTTCATTTAAATTTGGAGAAAATATCCCACCTCTAAGGGTTGCAAACTAAAGGATGAATCCGGTTTCTCTAACTTTCACTTTTGCAATAAAATTTGGCAAATACATTTAATTTTACGAACTTTTGAGGTCGGTTTTTTGTACTCTGTACTGAGATTATTTCGGATCTAAATCGAGTATATTTGCTTGTTTTTTATAAACAACTATGGGACCTGTAAAGAACTCGAAACGTTGGTTTGTTTAACAATCGCGAAAATCAAAAAAGTAAAACATTTTTTTTCTTAAAACAACATTTTACAATTTCATGCGAATTTTCATTGTTAATGAGATTCGATCAGGACTGCAAGAATTCCAGAACATTAGTTCAAAGTTCAAATAATATTTTTTCTTTTCGTCCTAAATTCAAATAACAGTTTCGAATAATAAACTTACATCAATTACATAATCATTGGCCTGTGTGTCAGTCAATTATAGTTCTTTGTAGTAATATTATTATTGATTACAGGAAAACGAACGTGAAGATTGGCAAATGGCAGGGTTTAGAAATCATATTGCCCGGTCCCGATGTACTGTGTATCGACTTCGTGGCAGTAGTCGTGTTTCAAATAGCACTAGTGCTTTTTAAATATTATTTAAAACCGTGAATCTTGTGTTTTTTTTGCGGAATTTCTCAGTGACGCAAAAGTGGGTGTGTAATGTTTACATGTGTTGTTATTTATACCGCGGTGCAGCGTTAAAAATATTAATGTAAATCCCACCCACACAGTCTGTGAAGGTTTTAAATATCATAGTTTTTGAATTGTGTCCAAATCACATTTCTAAATGCTTTAGATGTGTGAATGGAAATGCTTAGTTATGTGGCTAATCTGCGGTCCCTTCAGAGCATTTTATCGCTTTTGGCAAAATTCTCAGTAGTGGCTTTTTACACCTACGCGATTAATGTGGCTAATACTTACTTTTCTTTTAGTCGTATGGACTTTGTGTTGAGTCACGGAAAAAATAAAAAAAATAATTGCTTTGTGAAAAAAAAAATTGATTACTGAATTTTCATGTCATATTCTTCAGAAGAAATCCAAAGTATTATTGGAGAAGTACTTCAGAAAAATTCCGCCATTTAATAATTTTTTCGGACAATTACCCAACACTATACAGAACTCAATGCGAAATCATTCATTCAGTAGTTCCATAATTTAGACTTTCAAATCAAACTAGTATAAAGTACCGTTAAATTCGCCTCCTTTTCGAATGCGTTCGAAGTACTTTATGCCTTTCGTTAGATATGATAAATAAGAGGATATTTACGAAGTTCCTTTTAAAGTGGATTATTAGTGAGACAGTGTTTGCATATTCTAACGTTGGCACGTACATCACCTTAATTCCAAAACTAACACGAACTGTTTACTGTCGGATTATAATTTTATCATAATTTAAATTTAAGCAGCCGTGACCTGACTTTCATGAATACTAGATAATTCGCTTTACGGCGCACAGTAGGCTCAAACTGATAATTCGTAGTTCCACCTTTTTGTGTGATACCGGGCCGATTTTTTTATTTATATGATGATTAATTTCATTCCAGCATTCCAGAACACTTTTATTCTTGCGTAAATTCTTGAAAAGTTGATATTTACTGAGACAAACATAATTTAGTACCAATTTCTACCGCCAAGCATTTATGTGAGCATTACTGCGTTCCGGTTTTGAAATTACTGGCGCATGGGACTTGTCAACTTGTGTCTTGCAATCTTTGCGACATGAAGCTCTGAGCGGCACTGTAACTGGTGCAGAACAGGCGGACAGGCGTGCCGCTTACCACCAGGCGCACGACTTGCTCATCCCATCACTTGGTATTATCAATTTAAAAAAAAAGAGAAAGTAGTCCATCTGCAGACACTTGCACATTTAGAATAAAGAGGCGGCAAAATAACTGTTTTTTTTTAAATGTATTTTTTCAGCACAATACTGATTTCAATTTAATTTTCGAGTTATGATTATAACAAAGTCAAATTACGCGAAAGTTAATAAGTTTCTAAATCTTTACTTATCGAAAATACTCAAGAATGAAAACTGTCACGTATTTTTCATTTGTCTTTTTTTTTAATAACGCACACGCTCAACATAGCCCTGCACTAGGGAAACCCTGTGTTGCAGGTGCCATGGACACACACATAGACAACCACAAATTACACCCACACTCACGAGAGAAATAAATGTAGGCCTTACAAATATTTCTCCCGGCCCGGGAATCTGGGACCTCAGATGGTAACCGTTCGGCTACAGAGACAGTTATGTCATTATTTATCATATAAAAAGAAATCGGCTCAGTATTCCACAAATTGTCCCTAAGATCAAATTGTTAGTTTCGAATTCGAATCTACTGCGTGGCGTACTAACGTCAGGAAAGTGTACCTAATATCATAAAGTACCAGATATCAAGTCAGTAACAGACCGTTTTCGTCATCGTTATGAATCCGTCGAAATGTGCGAACTTTTACACATAAAACGTAAACCAAAAAGAGTTCGGTTGATTAAACTTTCCAATTTATAACGATAATGCCAAATATATCCATAATTTTACAACCAAATCTAGCTGGACGCTGAGTCAGACTGACGTTTTCGGAGAAAGTGTGTTGATCTTTCTGTGCATTTGTGGCGGTGATGGTGCTTTTAGATGTTTCTTGGAATCCTTAGTTTTGTTGCACTGAACGAAGCAGTGTACTATTACTAGACACATAAAATTTAGTTAATCCCAAAATGTTAGTGTGAAAATTTAAAGTAATTCTTGTATAATTTTTACAATCGTTTCACAGACAACAAACGTTAACTGTGTTTCAAACAATACACGTTTGAAAATGAACATTTTGAAATTAATTTATGACTGGTGTTTAAAAGTGAAACTCCAAGATTCTCGAGGCGGCTGTGAATAAAACAAGTGACAGTGAAAATGTTAGCACCAAGAACCAACTACGGTTCCTATACACTATCTAGCATGTTCAGAGGCTTCAAACATCGACCTCAATGCAAAGAAACGAAGGTAAGTTCACGGAAAAATACCCAAATAATCGGATCGTATGCAGATTACTCGAATACATGAATGTTCACATAAATGTCGCATGGCCATAAAATCTGATGGCTTTTTAGACGTAGCTGTGTTATTAGAATCAATTTTCATATTAATGTTAATGATTTGAGAATGAATTTTATTTCGTTTGACCTATTCGGTTTTTCGTAGAGAATTTTCGCACATTTGAACCTGTTTATGGTATTTGGAAGTAACATTTTATGCAAACATGTTAGCTACGTTTTGTGCTGTATTGATTCTGTAACTCAGCGTTATTGTGAACAATATTGATTTGGTAATCAGTTTGTTTTTATGGCTTCAAAGGCTGTTCTTTCTAGATCACAGGTTTTTTGACTCACCGCCCACTTAGGCAAGATAAAAAAATGTAGGTATGTTTTATATATATATATATAATAATTCAGGTTTATTTTTTCAAATGTGGTAGCAATTGCTTCCGAGGCCCCTACCGCCCCCATAGGACTCTAGCGCCCACTGGGTAGGGACCACTTTGGAAATTATGTTCTAGATGTAACTTTTTTTTTATGCTATATTTTCAAATGACGGGAGGAACATGTCGTGCCGCTTTGAGCTTTAAATCAAAAAGATCTGAGGGGTACTGCCACTGTGCCCGTCAACCTGAGGCATAAGTTGATAAGTCCCATGTGCCTGTAATTTCACCAGCACCCTACCCTTCAAAGCCGGAACGCAATACTGTTTGGCGACAGAAATATACTTCCCTGGCGAACTCTTTCACAAGGAGCTCTACTGTTACTATTATATATAAGAAAATAATTAGTTGAGTTAGTTTATGTTAAAAAAGAAAATTTTTTTCTCTTTGTCATCACTATATTCCTCGTCCATTAAACTAACAGCACCCATTTCCGTTTAACCGCAACTATTCCGTTTATACGTCCTAAACACTTGTAAGTGAGAAACAATTACTAAATTTATGTTAAGAAATATAGTAATTTTTTTTATGAAGAGCGCTGAGAGACAGCATTAATAGGATGAATAAAAATAAACGAGTTGTTCTTGAGTGTCGTCTTTACAAAGTTACAAATTCATTTAGGGGGCAGCCCCATATCTTTCTACATTACTTTTGATTATAGTGACCCTCCCTACCGACCTTGAGAGTGTACGAGAAGGGCACTATAACTTGTGCGCGCTCAGGAACCTTATAAGTTTAGGTTCTGACCCCAGAGCAGAAACGGATGAACAAGTGATGGTAGAGAGATATGCCTACCCAGAACAGTTGCTGTGCCACTGTTTGTGTGTTCACAGCAAAGAGCTGAGGGGCATTGTCACTGCGCCCATCACCCTGAGACATAAGTTGACATGTGCCTGTAATTTCACCTGCAACCTTACAAACCGGAACACAGTAATGCTTACATTGCAATGGCGACATAGAAATAAGTAAAATGGCGGTGGTTCGCTGGACGAACTCTTTCACAAGCAGCTCTACTGCTACTAAAATGTCCTTCTACCACGCCTATATAAAAAGCAAGTTTTGTAATACAATTTTTCATATTGATTTATCCGTTCTAGAAACAATTTCTAACATTCGTAACTCCACAAATTGTGACATATTATCTATATACGTTTGTAACTGAGTACGTCTTCCAATAAAGCCAAGTGACGGTTTCTTTGTGAGGTCATCTTTCTAATTATTTTATATATTCGTCTTAACATTTTTATGTATAAAATTATGCGTAAATATATATTACGCTGTGATGTTACTGTTAATGGTGCATTATGGTTGTCACATTTTCGGGAACTTGTGATAGTGAATTTCTAGTTATTACCAAGTAACATACAGCCTTAAAGTAACGTAAGTAAGGCGCTGCGCAATCGTGTGTCTTGTGTTGAATACAAGCAACCGCCAACTAGAATCGAATATTCTATTTTCATATAAATTGCGGTTGTGGCAACCGGCGACAGTGTCATACTGCCGCAACCGGCGACATTGTCGATTTCATATTAATTGTATGACAATATAATGTACGCTTCTAGTTGCAGGTTGCTTGTATACAACACAAGACACACGTTTGCGCGGCGTTTAAGCATAGATGGCGCACGTCTTCTAAAGCGTATTCTAGAGTATTTTAGTTGTACGACTAAAATACTCTACTTAAACTGATAAACAATGTAGAATGACGTCACCTTAAAATAATTCCTTATTATTATTATTATAAGAATTGTTTGGTTTGAAAACACATTATACGTACATTCACCATGAGATACATAACTTCCTTCGTGTAAACATCGCATAGTTGCCTTGACTATATTATAATAACTTGCTATATTTATCACAGTGTTGTTAAATTATTAAATATGCTTTTACCACTGGCGAGGCGAGACGAAATGAGAATTGAAATCTCGCCGGCTTATTTCCACAAAAAATTGCCAATAATACGAAAAAAGGCACAACTATGCGTCCTTTATCTGTATAAAGGACGCATAGTTGTGCCTTTTTACGTTCCGAGGGCAGAATAAGTATCGCGAGCTCGTGATTTATATCTTGTAGGCGTCGCATGCATCCTGTTTCCGTTGCAGAGTGTATACTCTATATAAGCAGCAACACGGTTTAATATTACACCAATAAATATTTCTACTCTCGTCTCGTACATCCTCAATACAGATCATTCCCACCGAAGATGCGCTAGGAGATAATTGAAATTTTCCACACAAATTTCAATCCTCGTCTCGTCTCACCTTGCCAGTGGCAAAGCACTTTAAAGTAAAATTGTAAGCGATAAGTGCCACTTAACAGTTTATCTTTATGTCCGTAAATGTTATGTAACTTTTGTAAAAGCTTACTCTAAATACTTTACACTGTAGAAATGTGAAATAAAACAACGGGTGTGTCCATGCGTAAAATATTTATCTCGAAAATAGTATCTATTAATAAATAGCTCCAAAGTCCGGTTATTAAATGCATGTCAGCTGAGGTATTACTGAGATGTCGTGACTTATCTTTAGCTCTCATGAATTAATGGACTATAATCATGGGCATCTTGGATGATACCATCTTAAGTGCCCAATAACGATCTTAAGCTGTAGTTTAAGTGCTAAGTCCCAGCTTCTTAAATGATGCGTAATCAATTAATAATCGAGGACATCCAAGTGTTTATTAAGCGAGACACCACACTTCTCAACACGGAATAGCTGACCAGGTAAAACTTTATGTGGTAAAGCGAAAAAGACTGTCCGGGCGAAAGCAAAACTGAAGCGACTGATGACTTTTATGCTATTAGGCGAAAAAAGGAATCGTCTCTGCTAAAGAGAGTGCGTGAGTGTAGCAATGGCATTCTGAAGATGTTTGCCCATCGTTTTGACTGTACAATTTTAAAGTTTTGGATTAAGATCGCTACTGGCCAAGTCAAGTAATAATTTGTGCATTTTCTTCGTTTTAATATTTTAATTTTTGCAGTTCAATATTTTAAACTTTTAATCAAATTTTCAAAATTCATTGTAATTATACTTCATTCACACATAATTCTAACGTTTTCTTTACTAACTAACACCATTATCTTATGGGCTATGGCCTGAAATAAATAGTATATTATTATTATTCTCGTCTGAGAGGAGACCCATGCCCAGCAGTGGGACGTATCTCCACATATCTCCACCCAGAACTATATAACACTATAAATTATAATAATAATTTGCTATACTGTGCGATATAATTACACCTATTATGATTACATGAGTTCCCTGTATACGAGTACTTAGAACCAATTTCGTTTAATACCAATCTTGCCGTCAAAGTCGTGGTTTCTTGCAATTTTGGTTTATCGATAAAAAAAACTAGGCATGTTTTGATTTTCTGCACTTCTGAACGTTGCAGAAATAAGTTTTGTTCGTGCTGCATATCTATTTTTGGCATTACACAAATGAAATACGAGCTTTGGAACAAAAAAACCGACAAATCTGATAAATTTTTATTTCTAATTTCGTCTAGTCGCATTGAATGGATTTGTCGCATTGAAATTAAAAAAGAATTAGAAAAAGTCAAAATGCGACTTAGCGGTTTTTGTTCCGACGCTCCTAGTAATAATAGGAATGAAACTCTAGAGTGCATACAGATCGTCCAGGGAGGTACTGCAACCTTTTTCTGCCGCCAAGCAGTAATGCCAACATTACTCCGGTTTTGAAGGGTGCTGGTGAAATTACTGGCGCATGGGACTTCTCAACTTATGTCTCAGGGTGACGAGCTTCTTTGCGATTTAAAGCTCTTTGCGATTTAAAGCTCTGAGTGCCACTGCAACTGTTATGAACAGTCCCATATCATTCTACATAAGTTTTGTTTATAGTGCCCCTCCCTATCAACCTCTTGGTTATGTGGGAAGGGCACTATGGCCTGTGCGCACACAGGAACCTTATAAGTTCAGGTTCTGACCCCAGATCAGCCAGGATACAGGGTTGTCACAGACCTCTGTCACTTTACTTCATCCGGTACTTCGAGAGGATAGTGCCACGGGTGAGCCGCACCGGGTACATGTACAGTACCCGTACAGTTCCCTCCCTATTATCCAGATAGGTACCGGAGCTGTAGGTACGCTCACTTCCCGTTGTGCATTGCACAACTAGCGGTTGCCACCGCTAAGCCGTCAACTCTGAGTCCACTACTCAATCTCCTTATTGGTGACGAAGCTGTAAGACACGCTCACTTCCCGACGCCGAAAAACAACGTCTCTCCAGTTCCCAATAACCTAAGCGGCTGGAGGGACCGGAGGATATCTAGCTTATCCTCTACTAGCTCTCCGGGCTAGTGCCGGAGATGCCAGTCGCACTGTCCTGCGAAATGTTCGGACATAGCTTCCAACTTAAAGGACAACTCACGTGTCCCGCGCGTCTCCTCGCTTCAGGCCCTCAACTAGACCGCTACTAAGGCGCGCTAGCTGCTCACGAGACAGACGTCCCTGCCACACCCCACCGGGGCAGACAAACATGTCCATTTCTGCAGCTAACCA